CTAACCCTAAAAACACTACAAGGTCAAACCAAAAGAGAATATAAATCAGTGGGACACTAGATATTACGTGTCACAACATTTTTGTTTTCTGCTGCTTCTGCTCCTATCCCCACTACCAATACTATTGTTCATAGCGACTTTTTTTCATTTTACATTTGCATAACATATTCGAATCTTGTAGTAGTGAGTTGAATAAATTGAAACGCATTGATGTACTAAATTACTACTTATACATGTAACGCGTACAATGGAGTGTGACCGTCAGGCATGGAAGAGTCGACTTTTTTTCCACATTGTTTATCTTATTTTCATAGTCGTTCTTCTTAAATTTTTAATAAGTTCTTTTCATTGTCCAGCCAGTTTCGAAATTTTTCTTTGAACAACGTGTGTCTTCTTTCTTTTCCCGTTTGACCAGTTCTGCATGTCTAGCTGTGAATATTCATTTAACTGTCACCGCAAGGATGTTACGCAATTATTTTACTAGTGAATCCTGAGCAGCATTTGAAAGCACCAGAAAATTGTTATATATAGAAAATGGCCTTCTTGCATTTATCCTTGAGTGTTACAACAACAAAATGCGATTTAAACTCAGAGAGGATTCCAATTACGGTTTTCATAAAATTTTAAACGAAGAGGAAAAAAATTTTTTTTACTTACTATATACCGTATTTCCCCTTAAATCTAGGTTCTGAAAATTTAAAAAATATTTGCCTAATTTCCCCCTTTCTATAGAAAAGGGAAATTTTAGGCGAATATTTTTAAACACAGTTTATCCCTGTTTTCCACACAGTTTATTCCTGTGAGGGTTAGTTTAGTGGTAAATTATGTACCCTTGATTATTAATATTCTTATTCAGTTCATGTTCGATATGTATTACCATTTCATCCATTTTATTTTCGCTGGCGTTTACTATTTGAAACGTATTTTGTGCGGATTCATCGTTAAGCTACCCAGAGGTGGCAGATTTTCTTACACTTAAGAAACTTTCTAAACATATAGTTTCACCTTACTGCTATTATTTACGTTCCAGCTCATCTGTAGTCTTAACTATAACCCTTACAACCCTCATCGTAACCCTTGCTGCTGATGTGTTCGATTTTTCGAAATTCAAGTCTTTTGTTCACCTCCTTTTTCCTTCGTTCCTCGGATGTCCTTCTTGGGAGCTACAGTTATGGATTTCCTACACAGCAGGAATTATGGATTTCCTACACAGCAGAAAATAGTCAAATGTCACTGAGACAGCAATTTTATTATAAGTATTTTTAGTTACGAAAATTTTAATTAGTTCATAACGATTTTTTTTAAAACACGAATAGCCATCATTGATAAAAATATATATATATATTGTTTGAATTATTATTTTTAATTGCTCTGTTTGAGGAAATTTTAGTTTTTTAAATATCTTTTCTGATGATTTGCAAATGTTAAATATCATTCATGATAAGAATCTTGCAATGCACAGATTAGGAAATAAAATGTTTCATTAATGTAATGAAAATATATGGGCATAAATTATTTTGGACTTCACTGAGTGTAAAATTTTCGACTGGCCATTTAACCATGTTAAATTATCTGCGTTTTTCTTTTTATTAGCTTTTTTCTTTTCTCCTAATAGCGTCAGTTGATATATCGTAAAAAGTTGTAAACTTTACATTCACCTGATGCCAACCTGTAAAAGTTAGTTATGAAGGTAACATGAAGCAAAGACAAGAGACATAAAATGCGTATTTCGCAGTCAATAAAGCTTTTTGTTTAAAACAACTAGAGAAAGGGCTTTGAACTTGTCTTTTCCAAACAGAAAGTTCGCGTTAGTCCACCTACTTTATAAACATTACCACGCGCTTTTTCAAACTACTTTTTTCTGCTCTTTTAACGCGAGGAGAGCTTTACAATCAGTAAAATATATTCTGAACTCTGATAATAAAAAATAAAGAGGAATAAAAGAAGATATGAAACGCGGAACTGGCAACAGCTGGAGCAGCTTGTCATTAAGAATTCCGAGCCATGACGCTCTGAAAGTGGATATTTGAGGCATAGGGTACAATTTATTGAGCAAGCAGGCTGCTGTGATGGAACAATTAACTGGAACCACCACCGCGTCAACATTCCGTGAAGAACCTAAGAAATCAGTGGAGTAATTTAAAGTTCTTGTGAAGTAGTTTCTTGGATGATAGAAAAAATATTCATTGTTTATATTTAAGGCGTTTAGGGAAAAGAAATTAGTACTGTAAATCACTTCAGATTTAATTCAACAAATTTGATCTTTCTTGAACGTAAACAAAGAATGATAACTGGATTGCAAGTAGTTGTTGTATTAGTAAAACTAGATATTTGTAGAAAAAATATACTTATTTGTAAAATGATTTTATATATAAAATATACAGTTCGCTTGCTGAAATAAAATTGTAGGCAATGGAATTTTTTAGTTATTTTCTTTCTTTCTTTTCTTTCTTTTTAAATCATATACAAATTTTTTCTAAATTAGCATAAATTTTATAAAAGTTTATAAAACTTTGGATCCAATTTACAGTTTTGAAGGATACAGGATTTATAGTTTGTGGTCTATGGTTTATGGTTTCGAATTATGATTTTGATTATGGTTTTGAAGGTTGCTGAATGGAGTCTTGTAAATTTAATTTTTAGTGGAAATATGAATTTTGACTTAACGAAAAAATTTTAATAGAATTGTGTTTTACTCAGAAGCGAAAACTTGTAACGAAAGTGTTTCAAATTATTTTTTGATGTTTTGGAATTTACTTTGGTACCGAAAGGTAGCATTAAATAAACGCAATTGTAACATCGAAATCAAAAGTTGAAGATTATACCGATATAAAAGAGCAAAGAACTTGAATAAGAGCATAAACCTGCCTTTAGATTTAAATTTCAAATTCTGCTTTAATTAAACAGAAATTGTGACAAATACAACATTTTAGGCGATTACATGTTTCTATTACGCGTACTATTTAAAGTCATTCATCAAAGGGATAAAGAAAGTATAATTGATTTTTGAGGCATTATTAGCAGCAGTTGCTGGATTGTGGCCACCAGAAAAAGTCTGAAAAATTTGAATTTTCTGCTATGTTTATATCTACTGTTGTTGTTTTTTACTTCCTTGTACGAAAATATCGTAACCGTACAAATTTTCGGGTATAATATTCAACGAAAATATTCATTTTGACTGCTATCGAATGCAATTTAAAGATGTTTTTGCGTGACATCTGTACGTAAGGAGAGAATAAAGAACTCTTTTTTCCAAAGCGGGTGGTAAAAGGATTTAAAAGGGATTCAGAAGAGATTTTTCTTGAGGTCTGTATGTACGTATATATGTATGTATGTATATGTATCTTGCATAACTATAAAACGAGTAGCCTCAAAATTTTGAAATTTTGTATATAGGATTGCTATAACATGTAGTTGTGCACCTCCCTTTTTGGTTGTACTCGGCCGCACCATAACTATGTGTATATAAGTATCAGATATAACAAAATACGATGGCTGCTTTAAGAAAAGATTAACGATCTCAAAATTAACTATTCTAAATTTGGTGTTCTCCCTCCTAAATTTATCTGTTCTCCCAAATTCGAGATCTTTCCATGTTACATAACGCTGCTTGAAAAATGGAACTAAAATCCAAAATTACCTAATCACAGATTAGCTGTACTTGTGCACAATCTAGTATAGCTACTAACTGCGTAGTCTCTCTCTCTTTCGCGTCTTCGTCTGCCTGCTGACAGCGTGTCGCTCAGCCTCTGCTAGCTATTCGCTATTATTTAAAATGTAATTGCATATCTAAATTTATGCGGCGCGTTTAGCACTTCTAGTCTTCTATCAGTCCTGAAGATATCTGTTAAAAGATTCATCATTCAAAAATAAATGATGTTTGACTATCAAGCTGGTCGTGCTTCTGAATTTCCATCGGATCCCGTCGGATTCCAACGTGATTACTTTTATCTTCCGTCAAAAGTACAACATTACACATATATATATTTACTAACGGATTATTTAGTATATTATCTCCTTTGATAAACCTTCAATGTCTTTTTTCTGCGTGGGACCAAAAGTAAACTTTCAGTTTTGTGCACGGAAAAATCTGCTTTTTTGCCCGCAGGCCGAAATGCTTGTTTTTGCGTAGAAACTATAATTTTAATTCTAAAATTTTTTTTCATGGTCTTAACTGTATTTGGTGTTTTATGTTTTTCAATTTTTAATAAAGATATTTTGGAATTTTATGTATTTCGTCTTGCTACGAAGTGAGAACTGAATTAATTGAATGAGAAATATATGTCTTAATGATTTTCGATGAATGAATTTAAATGAAATGGAGCAAAAAATGCGCATAATGTATTATTCCGTATAAGGATTTCATGTGGTGTACACATCAGATTTTTTAAACTGCTAACAAAATTGCATTAAATAAAATAATAAGTAGAATTATCTGGTAGGATTCTATTTATTGTTAGACTAAATAAGCTTCTTACACAATTGTACTAAATATGACAATTAATTTATAATAGATATTTAAAAAGTTCTGTTGAATTATGTTGTTATTTAAAAAAAACTGAGAACAAAATTGCACTAAATACTATAATAAATTCAAATTTGTATTCAACACCTTCTATGTATTAAATATTTTATATTGCATAGATTTTGAAAGAATTGCCGATTTTTTTGCTTTACCTTAGTGAACTTAGTTTTCGTGGATGTTCATAATAGTTTGCAATAAATCGTCCTTTCTTAAGCCCGAATGGCGCAACGCCATTTTCTGCAGCCAAGACCCTTACAGAAGACAAGTACCCTATATTGCGTATTCTCAAGAGTTTATAAGCTGTTTAATCATTTTGTGGAAATATAACTGTTTAAATTAATAGTGTTTCTTTAACTGTGCAGCCTGTTCGACTGAACAAATGATTAAAAGATTGAATTCCTTTTCACATTTTTATTGCAGACCTTGATATGATAAAGCTATCTCATACAGTTTTTAATATACTTTTTATTTACAGAGAATTGAAGCCTCTGGCTCATACCGTAACTGCAGTTGCTCAGACACCTCCCATCCGGCTACGAGTGGTCAACGCGAGTAACCAAGACGTGAAAGGTGTGGAACTCGGTGACCCCCTCTTCTTGAAAGTGGAACTGGCTGACGAGAGTGAGTATATCTCATCTTTGAAAATAATAAGAATTACTGATGCGAAGAACGTTTAATTTTTGAAGAAAGCTTCCGCTGATATCACTCGTGCAAGAAGTCCACATACTGACCCAACTCCTTAATGAGTGATCAAACAATAGAGGTTGAAATACAACTGGCATAATGGGACGAAACAATGGGGAGGCAAAGAGAAATGGTGTAAGGTATCTGAGTGAAACTGAGAATAACTTCAGGATGGAGCAAATGTACATATATATTTTATGCGCATCTTATTTTATTACGCAGATTTTCGATGAAATTTCACAAAATGGTTTGACTTACTCAATAAAATATCATCTTTAATTAATCTTTAACTTGCTGACCTTCCCTCTCATTCTCAATGCATTTGAAAAAAAATTCATATCCAATAATTTTGTTCAACAGTTTTTTCAACGAAAATCTCAGCATTTCAGACCCTTAAAATAGTATAAAAATTACTTCTCGTATGCTTTAAATGTATTATTGAGAATTAATAAACATTTAAATTTCTCGCAGTTCTGACTGATATAAGAATCCTTATCAAAGTAAACAGTAATAACTATTTGAGATTCAAAAACCATAAAGGAAGCAGAGTGGCTACTGCCGTACAGAAGGGTTCGGGTTCGAATCCCGGAGAATGCATGGATATTTGTAAATCTATAATGTCTGTACGGCATGGGGCACTCTAAATATGCGGCGAGCCGAATGTCCTCTCGAGAGGGTGACACAAACAACAGGCACAGTCTTGCACTCCTTGACACGATGAATTTCGTGGGCTTGTTCTGATGTCACTATCAAACATGTAAGATAAGCCGCAACAAAAACAAAAGTAAAGTAATTAAGACACAATAACACGCCGAACAAATACTAATTCAGAAGGAAGTCAAACAACAAACAACAAGAACTAAATTATTTAAAAGCAATAGCTATTGACAGAGGCTTTTAACCCAACATTATTAATCAAGCAGTTAAAAAATTCTCATCTCAGCACACTAAAAGGCACACTCCTGTTTTAGGAGATTATAAAAATTCTGTTGTCAATCCCTTCTTTCCATCAATTAGCTATAAAGGTGCACATATTTTGCAGAAATTTAACTTTCGGGTCGTTTATTCTCCCATCAATAAATTCCGAGTTCCATACTCAAGGACCCATTCCGGATATGAATCCTGAGGTATTTATAGGATTCCTGCCAGTGTGGTGTGGTTTAATTTACATTGGCCAAACTAAGAGAGCCTTAAAATTTCGCGTCAAGGAACATGAGGCATATGTTAAAAAAAGGAAACACAGAAGTCTTCTGTTGCTCAACATTGTTGGTCCGAAAATCACACTTTCAATTTTTCTGCCGCCAAAATTATTCAAAAAACATCTTCCATTGGATAACTGGATTTTCTAGAGGCATTTGACATTCAAAAAATATATTTCTGTTCCAGTTAACGATCCTAATTCCAATCCATCTTTGCCTTCGGCCTTTAAAGAAATTATGTTTTAGTTCTAGTTTCACTAACAGATGGCACCACTTGCTTATTCTTGTCCAGGCTTTCTTATCTTATCTATATTTCTTATCTTGTTCATTTGCGGTTTTGCAGCTGAGGATGGTGATTCGGTAAAACCATCGAAACTAGTCCTGTGAAAATTTTGAAAATATAACGCTGATTTTTGTTGTTTGTCTTCTGAAAAAGTAGAGTAATTTATAAAATAATATTCATATTTTATTTTTAAAGGGGATTTTTTTTATATACATCATGATAATAAAATACTCTTTTCTGTCTAAATTCAGTAAATGATTTTCAAAAGGAAATTTTTTATACTTTTTCCTGTAAAACGCAGGATACAATAAAAAGCACAGAGTATAAGCTTTCAGTAAGAAGAAAAAAAAAAGTTTTGCAAATATGTTGATTGCTGTAATTTTAAAACAGAAAAACAATGACAAGCAGATAATTATTCTCTTGCACTTAGGTACATAACACAGGGCATTAGAAACAACTGTTGTTAATTACAATAACAGTGCACACATTTCCAAAACTATCATATGGATGTATTATAAAATACATAAATTAGATGTATTATCAATAAAGAATGTTAGAACTAAGAACACAGTAGGCGCCACTTAATGTGATCTCGGTTAATTTTATAATATGGATATTGTTATCGAATTCCGTTTGTATACGAACGTACGTTTGTATACGAAAACATAGCAAATGCATCGCTTATCGTAATCAAAAATTCCGTTAAGATTAACAAAGTATAGAAAAATGAATTTTTTAAACAAAAATAATGCCGTCAAATTAAAGATAAAAAAAATCACCGAATACCGTTGAAATATTGTATATAAATTTTCAAATGATAGAAACATGTCGGAGTAAAAAAAAAATTTAAGCCGCCAAAACTCTTGATTTTGATTTCAGGCAATATTTAAGTCTTGGAACCGCGTAGAAAAGGTAGTAAAGAACTATTTTAAACATGCTTTTTAATAAATGATGAAACAAAGCAAGATAAAGGACTAAAATGTCTCCAACTAGCATTAATTGTGACGAATTTAACTCTTGGTTGGATACTGATGAAAAAGCTCTAAGTGCAGTATGAATGACAGATGAAATCGCTCTCTGAAACAAATTTCCAAAAACATTGTGACTATGAAAAATTCATAAATGAACTTGATCGTTGATTATTTCAGATAATCAACGATTAAGGAATTTTTCCCTAACTTAGTACTGTGAAAGTTTTTATATTTTTCTTATTATATTTATATTAAGTAAAAGTCCATTCGTATTTTGAAGGATATTTTTCTCATCGCTTAATATTTACGAAAATTGTCATGGGCAGAGGTCATTGATTACATTGAGCGGCGCCTAGTGTAATAATGAGAATATTGCAGTCACAGTTTTCATAGTTTAAATCATTATAAAATATACTGCATTTGCTTTTTTTTTTTTTTTTTTCATTTTGCTTTCTTTTTTCGTAACACGTATTCCGCAAGATTTACCTGTCAGTCAGAAAATAAATATAAATATAAAATAAAGATTTTGAAGTAAATCTGACATGACATGTATAATTCATACATTTAATCCCACCCTTTCGAATTGTTATTTAACAAACATATGCTGCCTTATCTTATCTCTGTATGCTTACTAAGTAGAAACAGCAAAGTACCGTACTGCTTGTGCATGGTAAAAAATGGTTAAGTCCTCATACATGCATGCCAAGACTCATTTTGTGGAATTGAACTAAAAATAGCAAACTGCCCATTATTCCCAACGCATCGTTGGAGATTTTTAACGTCGCAAAGTTCTGAACGCAGCCGTAGTCATGCATAGACAGTTTAAACAGTCATCACAAATTCCTTTTTTCTTGTTCCCAAGTATTCTCGTAGTTTTTAACTCTGGAGAAAATGGACTAAACATTTCCTGATTTTTTTTCTCCATTACTAATGCGATTTTTATGAAGAATATTTTGATACTCGTAATAAAGAAGTAAAACTTCTGTAGACAAATGTTTTTAAAACTGGACCTTTATCACTTGTAGCTTTCATTTTAATCAATTTCCTAGACTAAATTTGTAGTTTGCCCTCTAATTACTTCTTAGTACTATTCAAGTGCAGTAGATATTTGTTTAGTAGGGATTAAAAATCGAACACTGGTAGTTCGACCTGATTTCGAATCCCGGCGAAACGGGCTAGTTGCATGGTTGGTTTTCGAGGTCTTCCCCGTGCGAAATTGGACATTCGCAAGTTTCCCTTAAGGTCTTCCACGAAAGCATCTCTTCCCATAGGCTGATGGCCCTTCAGAGTTAACCTAACACTGTTTAGCAGGAATGTTGCTCCCTGACATCAAATCTCTTTGCCCGTTAAGCTAATTATTAACGCAGCAATTAATATGAAATCCATCAGAAGGCATTTTTCTCGTCAGAGGAAAACTTGATATTATTTTTATGTTGGAAAATGGCTTCACTTTGTTACTATTATCCATAGTTTCTTCAGGTTTGGGCATTTACGTTTCTTCATTTTTGTTACGTAAGCTGCATCATGCCTCTGGGATGGAATAGTGACCATCGTACCAAACGACATGAGTTCGAATCTTGGAGATGTCCTGGTTTGTGAAGGTATAGTGCCTGTGCGAGGAATTCTTGATATACGGGAATCGAAAGTCCTGTCGAGGCCCCTAGTGATAGGGAAAGAGAGGTAAGAGATCTACACCCGTCCCCGGGGTGCTTTTCTTCAAAACTGGAGCGGAGTTGAACAAAGTTGTCTGTCAATTGTATAGTGGCTCAGGTGTCATGGCAATGGCAGATACAATTTTGCTTTCTACTTGATACATAGAATATTTAATGACTTTTTTATGTTCACGTGTTTTATTTTGCCATTAAGCACACTCGATTAGGAGCTCGCCCAAATTATATCAGAAGCAGCTCTAACTGATGTAAGGATTTATCAGCCTCTACGTAGTCAAAAAAAAAATTTAAATATACTGTAGATTTCTAAAAAATCATTATTATGCAAAGGAAGATTTTTTTTCTTTCAATATACCGATATTTTAGAGAAATATTGCTTTACCCACGCTAATCAGTAGAGACTTGGTTGCTTAAAATACTTAATGATTATTGCATGTTGTTTTGCAATCTTGAATTTGCTTACGAAGTCACAATTTTTCTATTAGACACCGCATTTTTGTACCAAAACTTTCTATCGACGTCATTTTTCTACATCAAGGCTATTTATCTGTGTCACTAAAGCTAACCCTCATCTAGCTAAGCCGCTGAAGATTGCCCAAAGAAAAGCTAAGAGCACTCCTTCTTCATGACGGAGATGATCATTAATTAATGCCACTTGCTCACGGTACGTCTGTGGAGTTTTAAAACAACAGCTTTTTCCTTGCGCTACAAAGCTTGGGGACGCAAAACATAGTTTTGTGAGAACTGGATGGTAGACCAAAGAGAAATATTGTAGTAAAATGTACCTTGCCTAAACAAGAGAAATTAATTGTCC